ATCAGATATAATATCTGATTTACGAAATTTGATCTCTATTTCGTCATTTTGTGTTTTTGATTTGACAATTAAGGGGTATTTTTAATAAAAATGAAACAATACATAAACTGTGTTTTTTTACGTATTTAATTTAAAAATTCATGGTTTTTCGTTATAAAATAAGACAGATAATTGTGGTTATGAAAAAAAAATTAGCTAATTTTTGGAGAAAAAAATCAGACGTTATATCTGATTTACGTAGCTTGACCACGTTTAGCGTTTTTTCATGTTATGACACCTCTATGACGTCGATTTGACGCCAATTTGACGATGAATTTTGTTTTATTACTTAACGTTTTATATAAATAGACGGTGGGGACCATAAGTTCACCATCCATCCCCACCACCGCTCGTTTTCTCTAGAAAAACCGAATGAAAAACCGAGCTTGGACCATCCCCACCGACCATTCCGACCAAAAACGACCACCATTCTTCGATATACCGTCGTACACCATCATTTAACGACATCGACCATCTTCCGCCGCCACCGACCACCGTGATCTGCCGCCATCGGCCACCTTCCGCCGCCACCAACCACCGTGATCTGCCGCCATCCACAACCTTCCGGCGCCACCAACCACCATCCGCCGCCATCCACCACCCTCTGCCGCCACCAACCATCGTCAACCGCCACCATCCACCACCGTCCGCCGCCACTATGATAACACCGGTAAATACTCTATCTATCTATATATGTATATGTATCTATATATCTCTATATATATGTATCTATCTATCTCTCTCAATGTATATGTATCTATATCTATATCTATATGTATGTATCTATCCCTATATACACGTATACGTGTTAAGTTTCAATTTTTGTACCTATTTATATCTCTTTTCTTTTACGTAATGCATCTATATATATATATATATATATGTTACCGCAATTTATTCTCGTTTTTTTACGTAAATGTAAGTAGGTATATATATACGTATATGCATACGTACACATATATACGTACATACATACGTAAATATACGTAATGGTTTTTGTACGTACACATATATACGTATTAAATACGTACGTAAATATACGTAAATATGCGTACGTATTTAAACCCGTACTCATATATACGTATAAAAATACGTACATAAAACGTACGTGAATATACGCAAATATGCGTACGTGTTTTAATACGTATACATATATACGTATCGATGTTAAGTTTCATTTACTTTATTTTATACGTAAATATATGTGTTGTTTGAAAATACATGTATATATACGTATAAAAATACGTACGTAAATATACGTAAATATGCGTACGTGTTTTACTACGTACACATATATACGTATATGTGTTAAGTTTCAATTTTTGTACCATATATATGTCTTTTTTCGCATTTAATTACAATTGATCCATTATTCTGTATTTTTAGCATCTTGATGCATGGACCATCTATCTTCTGCACCAGAGGCAACCAACAGACCGTTGGACCATCATGCAGTCTTGTTGGATACCAAGTTTAGTCAACGAAGGGCTTGGGCTTGCGGATCAGAAGGTGTGGGGCGATGGTACACGCGAGCAGTTTCTGTCATGGCGAAACGTCGACCAGGTCGGTAGAATCACGCAACAATTATTTTTCGTACATAAGATATTTTATTTATCAATTCTTATTTTTCCAGGTATTCATCCCAATTAACATACCGAATGCTCTTTGGGTGACCGGGGAGCTCGAACTGAGGTCATGGCGTTTGACTATATACAATACTTGTCCACCGCATATGTTCAAAAAAGAAATCATTAGAATCACCCACATGCTGAAGCAGTTACTCCTTGAATTCCTATTAGAAATAGGATATTATGTAGGGGTCATGGAGCAAATTGCACCGCCGAATGTTAAATTATTTTTTTCAGACGATGCGCCACGACAGACGGGAGCGCTCGGCGATTGTGGGGTGTTCTACTGCATGTTTGTTGAGCAGTTGTCGCAAGGACTAGAGGTCAATTGTGATACGCCTACCGATGTTCAGGCTATGATGTTTCGTCAACGTATGACATCTATATTGTATTCAACACATGTAATTATTCCCAAATAAAAAAATTATTCGTTGTAAATGACATTTTTTGCACTATTTTATGAAATGGTCTTCGATAATATTAAAGCGTAAATCACAATTATCCTACAATCGCCTTGATGAACAAAATCATCGCAATCACAAAAAAAGAAATCCAACTTATCGCCAACATCGCCCTTAACCGGCGAACATATAAAACAACTTCAAAAAGTGACGCTTCAAGATTATTTTCGACCTTAATAACCCTGCAATAATTAGCACGGATCTTGGACACATGGGTGGATCAAGCCAATCAATAAATCCACAGTTTCTTCCCTACAAAAAAGTAAGGAACACACACACACACACATATATATATATATTACTACTAGTTGTTATACACGAAGGTCATATATACGCAAACACTCACTGGTAATGAACAACAAAAGAATCGATGGCCTGGGTTGTGATCGGTCCATGACGTTCTGATGCCACAGTTGCAATGCTTCACCATTTTTTTCCATCTGAGTTGAGAGGCAGTGAATAATTGATGGTGGAGTGGGTTTGTAATGGAAAACAAGGTTATTTATAGGGAAAACGTAATGAGCCTTGTCACATCATCATCATTTTAGTACAATACATTTTATAAGATCGAACCAACAACTTTGATAACAATAAGTTTTTTACCCGATAATATTAAATTTTGTCATGCGGATAGAGTTCCTTAATTCTTTCTATTGTTTTCATATTTTTTTCAATGGCCTCTTCATTCCACCTAATGTGTCTTCCAGTCTCCCCGCATGCATGCTCGAACCATGCCTCGTGGTTCAGGTTTTCCACCTCTTTGATTTTCTTTCGTGTATCAGCAATCTAACACTATTGTTGCTTAATCTGTTGTTTTGCATCAGCAATCCATCTCGTCCACTCGTTCATCTCATGCTGAATCTTCTACTTTTTTGAACCAAGGTCCGCACGTTTTTCCTGTAGTATATCCAATTTAAGTTCGTAGTCCTTGATAGCCTCTCTCAAATCATCGGACATTTTTTCTGGTAGTTGACTTCAACCCATTCTTCTCCCAGCCTCTCCCACTCCTCATTCGTCGTTGGAACTTTAAAATTAGAACTGGACAAGCTTCCGTCCATTGTTATAAAAAAACAAGAAAATGTAGCGACTAATATATCTTCTAACAAGAACCCATTTTATATGAACATTTGACACCAACAAAGAAGCTTATATATTTTTTTTGCAAAATAATGTAAAAAAAAATTAAAAAATGGATCGCTCCTGAGGGTAGAGTCACCAAAAAGTCGAGGCAAAATGGGGGGCAATAGTACATTGGTAGGGTTATGGGTCAGGGTTTCAGGACGAATCTTGTAAGCTTTATGTCAGCGACGATTTAACAACTCATAGATGATTTAACAACTCATAGCTTTATGGCAGGTTCATGGCTGAAATTTGTAAAAAAAAATTAACTTATGCATTTTGTAAGCATTTTTGACCCTTTTCAAATACCAATCCAAATTATATTTTCTAAATCAAAGTTGTAGGTTGATACCACACGAGTATATAAGTTTTGGAATCGTCTCATTTGGATTATCCATCTATTTTATATGAATTTTACAAAACTGCACATTAATAACGAAAAGTGTGCAAACAGCCAAAAAAACCGACCGGTTCCAACCACTTCGAGTCATAATTGGATTTTCGACCGTTCATGAAAGTTGTAGTATATAGCAAGATTTTTATAACTGAAAAATATGGGTCTATTCCGACTTACGGTTTGTGAGTTATACACTGTCAAAGTACAGGGGTTGCATTGTCGGTAAAATTAAATGTTAGAATTACCGACTAAATTTTATGATCCAGCGTCCATGATTCGTTAAATGTACATGATATAAACATACTTTAACATGCTAAACACTAAATCAAGTCCATAATAAAAAAAATGGATCGCCCCTAAGGGTAGATTCACCAAAATCGATGCAAAGAGTGGGGGCGATAGTACATTGGTAGGGTTACAGGCCAGGGTTTTCCAAGACGAATCTTATAAGCTTTACTGAAGAATCTTGCCAGGGACGATTTAACATGTCATGCCAGGTTCATGACCGGATTTGACAACACCATGCCAGCTATTAACTCGTAGGCTGCGACAATGCATTGGTAGGTTCACATGTCAGGGTGCTAGGACGAATCTTGTAAGCTTTATGTCAGGGACGATTTAACAAGTCATGCCAGGTTCATGACCGGATTTGACAACACCATGCTAGCTACTAGACCAACTTTATTAAATCGTAAGGGCCGATAGTGTATAAATTGGATGCCTTGTGAAATCATATATCACAACTTTATATCAAATCCGATACAATTACTTGTCCACTTATTGAAAGAAATGGTTGGAAACCCATCGTCTTCTCAAACAATGCCTACCAGGATGAAGGCTTCGATTGGAAAGGCCGAAGCGGAGATTTAGAAGATCATCGATGACTGGTGTGCTAACAGGGAGAAACAAAATAAACACGAAGAAGCTATTGAAGAGAAGAAAAAAGCTATCAAGCAATTGCAAAAGGAGATTCGAGTGGAGGAAAAAATTGTGAAGGACATCGCGAATGGGTACCAAGTGATGCAAGAAATGATAAATGAAAAACAACACTAAATTAAATCTTGCAAACAACTTTACCCAGAAGGAAACTAACAAGAATGTTATGTATTAATGTTTTTGTTGTTGTTGATGTTCTTCATTTTAATGTAACGTCTGAATGTTGTTGTTTCAGTTGATTCATCTATGTATTGATGGTTAATGTTCATGCATTTCTAAATCAAACTTCCATTTCCGATTAAAACAACAAAACTACACTTTAAAATCGTACATTTACTTACTTAAATTGCAAGTATCAAATACATAGTCTTGTGTAGTATCAGGTTAAGACGGACCACAATCGCTTGGATGACTAACTGATCAACGACGACTACTTGAACTTCCGTGCGTCGGCCTAGGAGCTGGCATCGGACTCGTACAGTTATATCGAAAATGTCCACTCTGGCCGCATCGACTGCAAGTTTTCACTATTGGTTCCTCGTCTCGTGACGGGATACGATCGCGGTTACGTGGCCTGCCTGAGTTTTGTATGTCCAATGGAGGCGGTAGGACAGTCAAACGTTCGTTGGGAAACACATATTCAGCTTCTGGTGGAAGGGGAATGACTTCCTCCTCGTATGTTGCACGGTAAAAGTCGGAATTGAACCAAACAGAACATAATTGACAGCAGTATTGAATATCTAAACTTTAAGCAACAGATATCACATGACCGCAAGCTATTCCAGAAAGTTGCCATTGCATGCACGTACAAGTCTTAGCATGCAAATCACACGTTCCTTTCTTATAGTTGTCATCAACTTCAAACAACAAATCGCTGATGGGATATACCTTCCAATTTGTGCTCCTATGTATTCTCTTCTCTAATTTGGCCTCCCCCCAAGGAGTCACTGCATTCATCATTTGCGCTGCAAATATTTGATATCATTAGCATATGTTACATAATCAAACATATAGTGAAAGGATGGTTGAATTTACCTTCGTTATGCCGATGTATGAAATACCATTGTTGCAATGTTGCCCGAAAAAATTCAATTAACATTGTTATCGGAACACAGCGTGCAAACCGCGTTACTGAGTTGACGGACTCAGCACTATTGGACGTCATTGCACTGTAACGCAATCCAGGGAAGTGTGATCGTGCCCATCTAGCGTAGCCAAATTTCTCAAGATAATGAGCGGCTCTAGGTAGACTATACCACATCAAATCCATAGTACCTTCAAAGTCCGACAACCTGTAAGCTTTGCATGCCTCCCAGAGCATCCACCGTTTACTTTTCTCATTAGTGGAGTTTAGACGGAGGTTCTGGCTCAGATGCCGAAAACAAAGTATGTGGTGCACGTTAGGAAATACAATTCGTATGGCCAGGTCGATAGAGGCAGCCCTATCAGTAACAAAGGTTAAATTGGGCACATCACAGATACACTGCCAAAGCTTACATAAAAACCATGTCCATGACAGGCTACTTTTTGTCTTCCCCACTCCCATTGCAATGGGTACGATCCCATTGTTTCCAACCATGCCAACCACTAAGAACATGGTGCCAACGTATGGCCCCTTCAGATGGGCACCGTCCATTATAAGAAACGGTCTCATATGTCCTAGAAACAATCGAATCTGCAGATGAACGAGATTAAAAATCTAAAGTTCATTACAAAAAATTATGATAAAAATTAAAAAATATGACAAAAATTATTACCGAACAACCGAGTGCGACAAACAACATGTCGAATCGTCCAAGTCCATCAAGAGTGATCTCTGTCACAGTCTCTGGATTTGCTAGCTTCAGATTGTGACAATAAACCGGGAGTAGGTTAAATGACGATTTAGGGGTCCCCCACAACAGTTGCAAGGCATACATCTTTGCTCGTCATGCTTGGTGGTAGGAGATGCTAATATTGAACCGTTAGTTCATATCTTCCATGATTTCTTTACCATGGTACACTCTCCTACAATCCTTTAAACTCCCTGCCAATACATGACCCAAAACCTTTTTTATTCACATTACGGTGGTTTGGTTGCACTTGGGACCTTGAACATGTGTGTTCATCGTGGAGCTTCCGTACCTGAAACATACTGGTACCATCGATGGAGAAATCCATTAAACGCCAATCACAGTCCGAATCTGAGTGACACACCACCTCGTATCGGTGTTTGGAAGATTTTTTTACTTTCATCTGAAAGTTTTCATGAACGCACTTTAATCCCACTGCAAGCTTAAGTGCTTCTTTCGAGTCAAAGGTTTGGAGAAATTTGACATGGGATGTAGGCTGGTAGGAAATGTTTCCCTGTCTACTTTTGATAACTGGGTCCGGTCAAGGTGTTGGGTCGGGCACACCCCAAAAACTATTTCTTACCGGCTTGATTTATTCATAATCAGAGTTATCGTCGTCTTCGTGTATGTTTAAAATTTCGGCAGCAACAGAAACATCTTCGGCCATATATACCTCCCACAACAGTTTTGACTGTTCGGGAGACCGGATCGAGTACGGGTTGGGAGACTGCATTGGAGGCATGTTAAAGTCTTGAACAAAATAACTGTCAGGTTCAACGGTAACTTTTTGTTCAAAATATGAATTTCCAGCGACATCATAAGGGAAGAAGGTGCTTGGATTTTCACCACTACCACCACTAAGGAAGAAAGTGCTTTGATTTACACCAGGAGCACAACCGGTAAGGAAGAGTGTGCTTGGACCATATGGGTTTGCACCGCTAACATCGGGGAAGAGTATGCTCACATCACCGGGGTAAAAAGTGTTTAGACCACCCGGGTTTGCACTTGATGGATTTCCTCCATAACCTCCATTGTCGACCACATATAGTGTCAACATTTTTGGTAAAGTTTGACGAATGGCGTTGTGGAGGATTACCACAGAGGATTGTCCATAAACTGATATAACGTATTCGTTTTAAAAAATAAATTGAAAGGACCACGTAAACTTAACTTTTTCATCACACGTTTCACGACCCCTGAATATGTTATTGGCGAAGACAAACGTATTGCACATGTGAGGGAGGTTATCGGAAGGTACTCTACAACACCATTTATATCTTGTAATAAACCGCCACTTCAAAGATACACACAAACATCATCACTTTGACGTGATTTCAAGTTTAGTGATGGTTGATTGTGTTTAATAGGTTAAAGGTTGTGATGGTTTATTGTGTTGAAGGGTTAAGGGTTGTGAGAGTAGAATATATGAGAAGAGAAATGAAAGGGAAGGTGTGAAAAATTATGAAGTAGGAGGTTGGTATTTACAGTGAAATTGGTATTACAAAAAAAAAAGAAAAAATAATAAAAAAAATACTTAGGACCGGATCGCCCCCGGGGGGCGATGGGATGACGTGGCTCGCCCTCGGGGGTAGATCGCCCTAGGGGGCGATTTGGGGGGTTATTTTTGCAAAAGCTCTAGAAAGTGGTTATTTTGTGTAACTGGGTTGTATAAAATGGTCATTTTGGTCATTTTTCCTTTTTTTTCTTTGATTTAAAGGCTGGATCGCCCCCATTCAGTACGGATCACCCCCCAGGGATGATCCGTGTGGGTATATTCGTAAACCCTCTAAAAAGTGGTTATTTTGTGCAAGTGGGTTGTATAAATTGGTTATTTATATCATTTTCCCTTAATACAAACCAATTTACGAGATATTTATAAAAATGATAACAGTTTATTTATTTTGATTTGGATATTTTTGGAAGATTATCGGAATTCTTTTATTATGACCAAATGTTTTATATTAGAAAACAATCGAGATATTTATTCAATCAAATATTTCATTAGACTAGATGAATGGTCAATGACAAATCTAGACACTTAGGTGACTGAGGTTAAACTTACGAGTACCAAAAACTTTCCGAAATGGAATAACTATCGGAACCAAAAATGGTTTCGGGTGATTATGTTTTCAAGTTAAAYGATTTATTTTTKGTTATTCTTTTACTATTCGTTTAAACAAAATGACAAATTATACCATAATTATATATATTTTATATGCAGATAATTGGTTTGAGCCTTTGAGCATATAAAACAATTAATATATGATAAACCAGTTTATATAAAAGCCAAAATAACAACATACTGAGATATATTTAATAAARCGATACATAACAACTAGATATTAAGATGCCTAATATTGAAATGGATTTAACAAAACAATATATAAGATATTGATATGAATTTATTCCTTTTGATTTTGGTGGAAAAATAAAATAAAATGTGTGAGTTCTTGTAAAAATTTAATGGGTTTTTAAGCATCAAACTAAGCCATTTGTGAAAGGTAAAAAAATTAAGCTGAATCTAGATTTTTTTTAAATTTTTGATTGGGTCAAGAGATTTCATTACTTTGTATGCGGCGTTACTACTTTGAACGGTTAAAATTGGTTTGTAAGGTTTGTGCTAATGGCTGAGTTTGTATATGAAACCATCTCTGTGTGTGTGTGTGTGTGTGTGTGTGTGTGTGTGTGTGTGTGTGTGTGTGTATATATATATAGGAGCGATCAAATGAAAACCATCCTCATTTGTACAGACCATACAAACCACCCTCATACATCGATTTCATTGTTTAATCTTATGAAATTTTTTAATCATGAAATCGTTTAATCTTGTGAAATTGTTTCATGTAATATTTTTTTGATGAATTTGTTTCATATATGGTTATGAAATTGTTTCATATATGGTTATGAAATTGTTTCATATAATATTTAATGAAATTTTAATGAAATTGTTTCATGTATTGTTAGCTCCATTATTCCTATTTTGTAAAAGTATAGAAAAAGTATATTGCAAATCTTGACAGAAGATTAACTCCACAGAATACATCAGAGGATTAGCGACAGAAGCCATATGAGCGAACAAGTGAAGAATGGCATAACCTCTGATGCGTCTCACAGAGGTTCTGGAAAATAGTCCTCTGATCAAAATAATATGCAAGTCATTTAAAGCAGAGCCTCTGAGATGGCTCACAGAGGGTCTGCGGTTTTCGTCTTCTGTGAAGTTTCTGTTCTAACAGTTTTCAAAGGTTGTTAGCCGCATGTGCTTCTCACGCAACTAGGACTTAATCGACTTTCTTTGGACAACCCAGATGAAGACACTTGTCAAGATCTAGTTTCTAAGGTCGTTAGGAACTAGTATAAATAGCGGATAGGGCCTTTGTAAACAGTATGCTTCCAGTATTGTAATTGTCAAAATTTTCAATTGAATCAATTGAAAAAACTTTGGAGCAATCTTCTTGCATTCATCTTCTTCGTTGAGACTGTGTGTTCTTGGTGTGTTTAGAATTTCTAATCACTTACTCACTCTGTTTTGCTCTTACTAATACTTCCGCTGCACTTCAATTGTTTTAGAGCTTGTTTAGAGTGTTAGATCAATATCAAAGTTGAATTCAGATCCWACAATTGGTATCAGAGCAGGTTTTGAATTCTAATTCAATTAATTCTGCTTTTGGTATTAATCTGTGATTCCTTGAACACCATTTTCTTCAGATTACCCTGTT